TGGCATGTTTATGTTAGAAGTAATATTAATCATGAATTATATATTATTACTCAAGCTTTAATAGACACAAGAGCAAATCAAAATTGCATGAGAGAATGATTAATTCCAACAAAATTTAATGAAAAAACAAAAGAAAGATTACATGGTGCTAATGGACAACAATTAAATATTAATTATAAATTGTCTAATGCTCATGTATGTATAAAACTTTTGTATTAAAAATACTTTTATTCTAGCAAAGGATTTAGATCAAGATGTTATATTATGTACTCCTTTGATTACTCACATTTACCCTTTCACAGTTAGTAATAAAGGAATCACAAAAACATATTAGGACATGAATTAACATTTGAATTTGTTAATCCTCCATTAATAAAAGATTTTAATCAATTAAAAGACTTGTCAATATCTAAGATAAATCTTATAAAAAACATAGAGAGTCTAGAAAAGTCTCCATTAAAGTCTGGCTGCAGCTCGATCCACACAAAAATTTAAATACTTTCTTCAAAAAAACATGTTTTTTATCTTTTGCATTAAAAGTCAAAATTTTCCAAAACAATGTTTTTAACATAATACAAAAATCCAAAAGTTTTTCCCTCAACCTCTAACGGAGAAAAACACATTTGAGAGAAAGAACAGAAAACGATAAGCACTCCCATCAAACCCAGAGGTACTCCTCAATCAAAAGCATCGTAAGTTATGATTCCTCAACAACCTATTACCCCACTTTCAAAACAAGCCAAAACCAATAAAAAAAAAAAAATCATTATCACTCAACTTATTCGTTTTAGTCTCTTAGATAAAGAATCTGTATCTTTATCTCCACCCAAGAATTACCAACAAATTGTTGCCTTATCAACTCCTTCAACACCTTGCGTACCCTCTTCATCAAAACCCCCTAGTATCAACCAACCTCCTCAATACATTGAAAAGGAATCTACTCAAGCAATTTGTATTATTGAACTCGAATAGTAGGGACAAACCTTTCAAGAAACTTTATCATATATATTCCCATTAGATTTTCTTTTTATTCCAGACAATTTGTTGAAAACAATAACTTTTTATGAATTTATTTTAGTTAACACCTATTCTGTTGGTATTACTAATAATCCTAACAAAAATAATCCCAATAAAATTGCTTTTTCAAAATGTAAAATTAAAAGAATCTTTAAGACCTGAAGATTGGCAAATTGGTATTTACAAAAAACATCAATTTTCTCAAACATTTGTTCCTCAAGAATTTTTTTACAAAGATTATCAAAAAGCATGGTTCCATACTTCATTTTTATCACATACTACACATTCTTGGTTATCACTATTGTTTTCCTTTTGATTATTAATTCTAACAACATTATTGTTATTGCTTTTGTTTTGTCTATTGTTACTTTCTATTGCCTTTAAAATACAAGACATTTCTAAAATAATTTTATCCTAAAATTTCTAATCTTATCTCTAATCTATGGGACCACCAAGGCATGAGACCACCACTTAAGGCTGACCAAAGGTTAACCTATCTCTAATTTGTGGGACCACCTGGGCGCGAGACCACCACTTAAGGTTGACCAAAGGTTAACACGTTGACCAATGCACCCTAGAAATAGTCCTAGAATTTCTAGGCTAAAATATTCCAGATTTGTCAAATATATAAATTAACTAAAATGCATGATAATAAGGGTGAACAATAAATAGTAATTTGCTGCCCTAATACCAAATCTAGTAAGGATCAAATTATTTGAGAAATTGAATATAAAAAGATAGTACATTAAAGATTAATTTAAGAAAATAATATTAAAATAATGAACTTACAAATGATTTTTTTTGAAGGTGAACAAACCGTTTTATTGGAAGCTAAAATGATATTTTACAATAAATTTAGGAGTAGAGAAAACTTCTACTCCAAAATGAAAGATACAGCATATTTATACTAATTTCTATAGTGGACTTAAAACAAGTTTGAGTCTGTAATACAAACGCATATACTCAAAAGTGATAAGGATAAACTCAAAAGTGATAAGGATGAAAGTAAGTAGAATTTACGTATCCTTACCAACCCAACCTAATTTATACAAAAGTTTTCAACTTATAATAATTGAATATCATCTTGGGAAGATAAAAAAATAATAAAGATAATGATTTGTGTTGACAGAGTTGATAAGAGTTGAGTTGAGTCACTCTTCTTGATAGTACTCATATTAGTCAAAGTAGTCATTTTGGTCATTATCACTCTAAACCCTACACTCTAAACTCATGCACACTCACACATACACACATATATTCTATTATTGAATAAGTGAAGAATATTAATGATAACCCAAGTGTTCGTGTTGATTACCAATGGCGACCGAAAAGTTTGAACATTGTTAGAAGTATGGGAGGCATATTTTGATTAGTACGGGCATGAGGGCATGAAATGGACCTGTCCTGTGATGTTGAGGGAAGATAGTGAGCAATCATACGGACATAACGGAAGGTATGCATAGCAGGGAGTTTTCAAGTCCTGTGCTGCGATTTTGAAAGTGAAAGCTTTGATCTACTCCCGTTCTGGAATACGTTATGAACCCTTGGAGATAGATGTAAAGTGAAAAACTAAAATAAAGCAAAAGCCTAACTAACATAAAAAGAAATTGTTAAAGTGAAATGAATGCTTTTTCTTTCACAACTCCTTCTGTAAGAGCTGAGTCAATAGCTGCGGAGTGAAGGGATGCAAATGAAACCTCGTAATGTAATCGATGTTCTGTTTTTCATCACAAAGATGTTGATTGCCTGCAACAGCCAAGACCTAAGTGTAGAGTTGAGAGTGGGGATTTACCTAAAGCAAAAGTTGTGGACAACGAATGTTTCTAACTTGTTACTAAAAAAATAAAGGGTGTCTCAAAAGAAGGATGTTATTGGGACTAGTGGCTCTAAAAAGCCAAGAGAAGAATTTGTTCTGAGTAAGGCTAAAGTGGCTAAAGAGCCAAAAGTAAAATCAACTATTAGTGTGAGTAATGCCTTCCAATGTTTAGCTTCAGCTTTTCAGGAGAGACAAGTTGAACCTCCCAATCATCATAAGATCTCAGAGATCTCAACGATTGCTAAGGATAAAGAAACAGTGATGGAGGGAGAATCAGAGATGGGAAATTCGGATGTTGAATCTGATAAAGCTTCAATGGTGGAGTTTATTAAAGAGGGGGTTGTTGATTTAGGCCACCCACATGGTACTGATGCAGGGGGAGGCAGGGATCCCCTATCTATTCTTAATTTTTATGGTTAATATTGCTTGTTGGAATGTTAGGGGTCTTAACCAACCCCTAAAACAAGCGGAAGTTCATAATTTTGTGAAGGAGCGTTGTGTTTCTCTTTGCACATTACTTGAAACTAGAGTAGCTCACAATAATTGTAAGCGTATTTTTTATAGTACTTATAGAAGATGTAATTTGGACTGTAATGCTGATCAAGGGAATCAAGGCTCCAGGATTGTAATAGGATGGGATCCGATGTTATATAGGGTGGAAGTTCAGGATAAAACTGACCAAGTCATGCACTATCTCGTCCATGAGCTTTTTTGTAAGTTCTTTTTTTTGCTCTATCATCTATGCTGCCAATTACCATACTAATAGACAGAAGATGTGGCGAAATTTAGAGAATTTTAAGGAGAAAGTGTCGAATGACCTGTGGTTGTTAATGGGCGATTTTAACATAGAACTGGAGGATATTAATAGAGTTGGAATTTTGTATACTTGGAGTGGTAAACCCTATGGGGATATTGGGGTTATGAAAAATTTGGACAGGGAGATGGGCAACTCCCAATTCTTGACTACTTATCCGAGAGCTAACACATTCTACTTCCCCTAAGGGATAAGTGATCATAGCCCTAGTGTAACTTTATTTCCTCAACACTTATCAAGCAAGCCTCATCCCTTTAATTTTCTCAACTACCTGGTCTATAAGGAGGTTTCGTTGGTTCAGCAGGTTTGGGATACTCATATTCCTAGATTTCCTCTTTTCTTGGTGATGCAAAAGCTAAAAGATCTTAAACCTTGCTTTAGAGCTCTTAATAAGAAGCAAGGTAATCTCAAGCAGAAGGTGGCAGTGCTTAGGAATGAGGTTGAAAATATTCAGAGTGCTCTTGATCTGGACCCCCATTATAGGGATTTAAAGGAAGAAGAAGCAATCTTCTCAGAGGCGTTTAGGGAAGCAGTATTGGATGAGGAAAGGCTACTGAAACAGAAGTCGAAGATTCACTAATTAAGTGTCGGAGACAAAAACTCTGCCTTTTTTCATAAATCTCTAAAGTCTCTGCAGAATTTCAGGTGGATTGGGAGGATATCACTTGATTCGAATGAAGTTGTGGAAGGTCAAGATATGGCTAAAGCTTTTGTGGACTATTACCAAAAGCTTCTTGGCACAGCTCCCTTGGTTTTGAGTATGGAAGGTTTAGATGATCTTTTCCAATCCAAAGTCTTTGAGTTGCATTTTAGAAATATGATCAGAGAGGTTAGTAAGCAACAAGTTAAAAGTGTTATTTTTTATATTGGTGATGAAAAGGCTCCAGGCTCGGATGGGTTTTCCCCAAAAAATTTCAAAGTAGCCTGGAACATTATTGGGGATGAAGTGTCGAAGGCAATAATCGATTTCTGCAACAATGGTAAACTATTGAGAGAGGTGAACTCTACGATGATTGCCCTTGTTCCTAAGCTGGATGTGCCTCAAAAAGTTGGTGATTTCCGTCCAATATCCTACTGTAATGTGCTCTACAAAGCTATTTCTAAAATTCTAGCTAATCGGGTGAAGGGATGCTTAGGGGACCTTATGGAAGAGACTCAATCAGCCTTTATTCTAGGAAGGCGTATTAGTGACAATATTTTGTTAGCTCAAGAGTTATTTAGGAATTACCACCGGAGTGTTGGAGCTACTAGATGTGCTTTTAAAGTGGATATTCAAAAACTTTATGACACTGTTGATTGAGGCTTCTTGATACAAACACTTAAATTCTTTGGCTTTCCAGATAAAATGGTAGGATGGATCAAAGAGTGTGTTACCACTCCTACCTTCTTGGTGGCTATAAATGGAGAGCATCATGGGTTTTTTCAAGGCAAAAGAGGATTGAGGCAAGGGGTCCTCTTTCGCTTTACTTGTTTACACTAGTTATACAAGTGTTATCTCTCATTATTCGTCACAAAATTTGGCAAAGAGAGGATTTCAAATATCGTCACCGTTGTGATAAGCTTGGAATAAGTCATCTTTGCTTTGCAGATGACTTATTCCTCTTCTACCACGGGGACTTTTACTCGGTTCAAGTGCTTCATGATGCTCTTATAGAGTTCTCTGAATTTTCTAGCCTGGTTCCCAACATTGCCAAAAGCTCCACATTGTTTTGTAATGTAAAAGATAAGCACTGGGCTGTTATCAACAATATTATGGGTTTTGCTGAAGGTAAGCGTCTTGTCAGATATCTTGGAGTTCCCCTTATTACCACCAAATTATTTCATAGAGATTGTTTGCCCTTGATTAATAAGGTGGAGCAACGGTTGAAGTCTTGGAAAAATCGGAGTTTATCCTATGCTAGTAGGTTATAGTTAATTATATCGGTTCTTTTCTCTATTCATATTTAATGGGCATCTATGTTCATTCTTACTAGCTCAGTTGTTCAGACAATAGAAAAACTTTTGCACTCTTCTCTCTGGTCGGGCACTGATATGTGTAAAGGAAAGGTAAGGATTGCTTGGAAAGATGTGTGGAGTCCTAAAAATGAGGGTGGTATGGGGATTCGATCCCTCAAAAGTAAGAACATTGCTTTGATGATGTACCACCTTTGGAGTATTTTGTCTATAAGTGACTCTTTGTGGGTCAAATGGATCCATACCTACAAGCTAAGGGGGAAGAGTTTTTGGAATATTCGTATTGCTTGGGATGCTAGTTGGTGTTGGCGTAAATTATTGAAAATGAGAGATCAAGTCAGAAATCATATTCGGATAGATCTTGGAAATGGTCAGGATACTTTTTTGTGGTTTGATAATTGGCATCCACAAGGACCCCTTGACAAGATTATTCCTTCACGGATCTTCTATGTTTCAGGCTTACGGCATAATGCCCGAGTTAGTGATATCATTAGAAATGACCATTGGGAGTGGCCTAAAGTTCTTGGGGAGGATTACCCGTGTGTAACCACTTACACTCCTCATATTTCCATGGCTGGCACTAAGAACACCTTATATTGGTAGAATAAGACTGGAAAAAGGGTTACTTTTTTCACAAGACAGGTTCGGAAAGACCTTTACATGGACAATGGAGTTGCTCCTTGGTCTTCTTTAATTTGGAATGGCACTTGCATACCCCGCCACTCTTTTATTACTTGGCTTGCCATTAATCGAAAACTTTTAACACAAGACAGAATGCAAAGATGGGTGAACCCAGAAGATCTTTGCTGCAGGCTCTGTAATGGCACCATGAACTCGCATGATCACCTCTTTTTTTACTGCCCTTACTCTCAAAGAGTGTGGAAAGCTATTCAAAATAAGAGGCATTTTTGATCACCACCGGGTGGATGGAATGACACTATAAACTGGTGTACAGCTAAATTAGAGGTAAACATATTCGAAGAGTTATTTGCAAACTGTTATTTAGTGTTGTGGTGTACTTTTTATGGCAGGAACTGAATTTTTGAGTGTTCAAGAACATGCTAAGAAGTACAGATATTTTGGAAGTTTTACTGTTTGGGGAGGTTAGGCTTCAGCTTCACTCTTTGAAGTTCAAAGATAATAGTAGAGTTCGTAAAGTGGTTGAAGAATGGAACCTCCACAGGGATTGTATAAAGACCGACACATTCTAACTCTTTTATCATGTTGTTATCTATGTTGTGCAGCTTTTGTGTCCCTTTCAATTATCGTAGAGGGAGCAATTGTGGTTATGAAGGTGCATAATGAATATGGTGTTGTTGGGATAAGGAGAGGAAGCCTGTTATTTGGGCAGGGAAGCTGGTTTTTTTTTTTTTTTTTACCTTGTTTCTTCCTATGGGTTTAAGGACTATCTCAACCCTATCCACACCCTCTTTTCACTGGTGGTGTCCTTGTTGGCTAATGTGTTTGGGAGTTTGTTTTATGGTTTGGATAAACGTGTGGTCCTCAGAGGGAGACTTACTTTTGTTGCTGATGTGTGGGCTGATAACAAGTTTTTGGGAGTACAAGCTGACCTGCAATCAGTATTTTTTGTTAGCCTTGCCTATATGTAAATTTGTACAGGCTGGTTATTTTGGTTTGATGTAAGGCCTGCCTTTTTTGTGTTGCTAGTCTGCTGTCTTAGGCTTCCGTGTGATTTGCCCACTAGATGTCTGAATTGTTTTTGCTATTTTTTTGCTTTTGCTTTGTTTGTTTGGTTCCTAGGAATGTCCAAGTTGTTTAAACTCTTGTAGAGATTCCCTTGTTGGGGGTCTCGTTCTTTCATTCTTTATACTATTTCCATTTACCCAAAAACAAAAAAAAAAAAAAAAATAATTCTTGTCCAATAAAATAATCATCAATGAAATGGTTATCAAGAGATTTATAAATTACTACTCATGTCTCTTTTGTGCAGATGACTAATTTGTCATACTATAAATTTTTATCAGATTTTTTAAAATACCATAACCCTTTTTTAATTAATCACCTCCTTAATGTTTCTAATATTCGTTGTATTCGTCCTTCCTCTTTAATTTTTTTTCTTCTTTTTATTTATACTACGTTAGTGTTTATGCATGCTTTTGACACCAACTAATCGATACGTGCGTAACGTTGATTGGTCAAGAGACACACGTGATTATGGATAAAATGTAGAGTAAATGCAACAATGAGAGCTTTTTAAAGTGGTTCGGATGCTAAGGTAGCAAATCCTACGTCCACTGATAGTTGTATTAGAATCGTGGGTCAGGTCGCAATAGCGGACTGACTTACAAATGATTAGGGAAAAGTAAATACAAAGATACAAGAGAGAGAGAAAACTAGTTCATAGTGTAAAAAGGTCGAATCCCCTCAATGAAGGGGTTTTTCCTTTTTATAGTGAGATGGGTGCAGATAATCATCATTAAATCCGTGGGTTGGTGTGAATGTCAGGACTAAATCCGGCTTTACGTCACATTGCCCACCTTCCAAGCTGATTTCACGCGATTTGGAGCAGGGAATGGACACGTGGGAGCTCCACAGCGTCTTGTAGGCCTAACGTGCGCTTACCATTCTGACGGGAGCAGGTCACCCCCCATCACATGATTTCCCACGTCAGCCCTTGATTCCCCAGGCATAACAGAAGTCCCCTAGTTTTTAAGGTTTGAGGATCAAACCTTGGAAACTAAGTCATGTCGCGATTGGAGGCCCTGGCCATTCCTACCTGAATGAAAGAAGCTCGGGATAGGACCTTTTGCAAACATGATCTCGCGCAAACCTCATCCGAACAACCTGACAGCCATCGCCCAAGCGTCCTAACTTCATCGGGTGTTCCTTACTGTGCCTCAGAGATGGAGATTTAATGAGGTCATTTCTGCGCTGACAGGCGCTCTGCGCGTGTCAAGCGTCTGCCAGGCGCATTAAATGCATTGTGTGCTGACACGTTACTGCTTTGGCAGAGCATTAATTGCATGACACGCCCGAAACGACAACCCTCATCACAGCAATAAATGCGGCGTGGGGCGCATTTAATGCGGAGAGAGGGAGAAACGTCATTTTGATTTCGAGAGGCGGTTAACGCCGGTTCGTAGTCCATATAAAAACCCAGATTTTCTAGATGAGGCCACCAGAATCCCATTTGCCTCGAGCGAAAACTCTCTGCAAACCGGAAGCCTTTCTTTTCCGATTGACATCTCTCCGATACCTGAAGCAAGAACCGTCCACGGTCACATCCCCCAAAAGGTAATGGTTTTTTGTTCACTTTTTTTTTTTTTTTTTTTTTTTTGGTGGTACAATGGCATTGCGTCATCTGATGTTTCATCAGAGGCACGACAATGGAGTCGGGTTCCTGCCGTGAATGGCGGCTCGAATCATTGTTAGGTTTTAGGGAATCTGCTCCAAGCCACTGTATAGGGGGACGTACGATGGCTAAAATGACCTTTTGTCTACCGGTGTTGCAGACTGCGGAATGGAACCCTCAGCGTCCAGATCCGAAGAAGGAGTCGGTTCGTCTTTGCAGGATGTTCCCGTGGACGAATCCCTTGAGGTCTTCTCGGTTCTCACCCGAGAAGAATTCAAGAGGATAAAGAGACAGTTTGGTGTCCGCGCGGAGGTGTTCCTCGACGCCACCCGGTCGTCACGGCATCCTTCCGATGGCCTGGCTGCGATCTCAGAAGAGATCTTCAAGGGTGGGGGGATGATTTCTCTCCACCCTTTTATTAGGTCGGTCCTGGATCACTTCGGGATCGCACCAATGCAATTAATGCCAAAAGCGTATGTCATCACTGTTGCAATGTACATCGCGTGCTGTGAGAGTGGCTTGGGCGAGCTAACAGCGGTAGAGCTTGGCTGTTCGTATTACCTCAAAAGGAGTAAGGACAAAGACTCCTATTACTTGTCTCGGCGATCTACCATCGCCGAAGGGATACATAGCTATCCCAGCAACGCGGGGGCCTACGAGATGAAGTTCTTCTTCTTCTGCTACGATGGCTACTGCCGCTTTCAGAAACCAAGTAGGTCCTTCTTCGCTAGATTCATTAACTGTGCGCTCGCTTTTTCTAACGACCTACATTCTTTTGCAGTTAACAAGAAGACCAGCCTGGACCTGCTCACCGACCCGGACAGGATCGTATCTTTTAGGGTTCTCCCTGAAGAAAGCCGAGACGTGAGGAAGCTCGTGACGACTACGAACTTATGAAAGTATGGTTTTTTCAGCGACCAAGCATCTTTAGAGTCCCCAGAATGTAAGTTGCACACTGATTCCTTTCTGGTCGTGGAATAATTTTTGCTTAGTTACTAATGCACCTACATGCAGCGACCATGCCTCCGAAAGAGTCCGAGCAGCCCCGGCGAGCACCATTCAACTTCCCTCGATCGAGGAAAGAAAGGGCGGCCAAAGCTGCTTGCCCCAAAGCGCTACAACCGATACGAACTGCCACGCCTTCCCAGTCCCGTCCTGAGCAAGAAACGACTAGGACAGAACAGGTCGCTCAGCCACCACCTGCTGGCCCAAGGCAGAAGGCTCCGGCCCAACGGTCGAAGAAGAGGAAGCAGATTCAGGTCGACGAGTTAGAGATCGAATCTGAGGAAGAACCACTAAGGTCGCGGCGGGACGTCAGAAGGAGGTCGGGCAAGGAACCTGTGGACGAGACGGTTGCTGCTGACAAGGCGAAGGACACACCAGTGTTGGATTCATTGGGGAACGTGCCTGAATACCTACAGCGGATAGTCTACTCTCTGCTTGAGTGTGGGCTATCGGAGTCATATGATGAGTTCGCCGATATGGGCGATGACCTGATGACCACGTCGTTCTAGCATCTAAGCAAGGTAAACGAACTGTTCTTAAAGTTTGTCCGCCATTTTCATTCTCACTTCTTGTTCGCAGGCTTTGCTTGCCATGAGGATGTCCATGGAGAAAGCTCGACTGGGGGCCACGAAGGGGGCAAATGATCTGAAAGAGGAGATCGCGAAGCTCAAACAGAGCCTAGAGACCGTCGAACCGGAAAGAACGCAATCGTTTAAGGCGGCGAACAGATACTTGAACCAAAAGGAGGCCGCTATGCGGACAGTTGACTTCCAAAAGACGGAGCTTGAATGGCGTGCGAAGGAAGTAAAAGAGCTTTAGAGGACAACCACTAGGCTCTCCAAGGAGGTCAGAGAGAAGGACCAAGAGCTCTAGACGACTGTAATACGAGCTCAACTAGCAGAACAAGAAAGGGAGGCCTCCGAAAAGGAAAGGCTAGCTCTCAAGGCCGAACTCCAGGAGAGTCGGGGAAAAATTGCTTCCCTGATTGAAGAAATATGGATCCAGTCAGAGGAGATCGAGGATAACGCCGCCAACTAGGCGATCGGGTCCATTTATACCCTGCGACCAAAGAACCCAGATCTGGACATGTACGACCTCCCAAAGGGGTGGCAAGAGACCTTGCAGATCTTGGCGAGGGAAGATGATCAAATAGCAGCAGCCGCCCGAGGATCCGACCAGGTAGAGGGTTCAGGTCTTGCTTCGAAGGATCCCCCCACCGACCAGGCATAGTGCCATGAGACCGACTCCATAGGAATTAATAGGGTCTTAACAATTTTTGTTGTACATATGAGATACGCTTTGCTTTCAATCGTTGTTCGCTTAATCATACATGAGTGCAGTTTACAGTTCAGTTTGTTTACATAGGCAATATTACATGCGAATTGTTACAAGCGAACAGGATAATATCCTACAATAAAAAGGAAACTAACAAAACCAAAACCTAATTTACAATGAGCATTGAGTTCGCGATTACTGATAGTATGGCCGAAGGTGCTCGGCATTCTAAGCTCGAGGTACTTTGAAACCGTTCAGCCTTTTGAGATGGTAAGTCCCCGGTCTGATCACCTTGTCGACCCGATACGGACCTTCCCAGTTTGGTCCTAATACCCCCGTGCTTGGCTCTCTAGTTCCAAGGAGAACTTCTTTTAGCACAAGGTCACCGACCTGGAAGTCTCTTCGCGTGACCTTTGAATCGAAGAATCTCTTCGCACGCTGCTGGTAGGCTGCTATCCTTAGCGAAGCTTTGCTACGTTGCTCCTCAACAAGATCCAGGCTCGCTCTCATAAGTGCTTCGTTTTCAACCTCATCATACAAGTCTCTCCAAAGAGAACCAGTTCCTACCTCTACAGGAATCATTGCCTTGCAGCCATAGGCTAGCGAAAAAGGCGTTTCTGAGGTGGAGGTTATCGAAGTTGTCCTGTACGCCCATAAGACTTCGGGGAGATTGTCGGCCCAATTTCCCTTGGCTGCCCCATGTTTGGCCTTTAGAGTGTGTTTGATGGTCTTGTTGACGGCTTCAAATTGGTCATTTGCTTGCGGTTTGGCGATTAAGGCAAATTTTTTATGGATGCCCAGCTCGTCGCAGAACTGTTTGAACTCCTTGTTATCGAATTGCTTTCCATTATCCAAGATGATAGTGTGGGAAATTCCGTAGGGGCACACCATATTCTTGAAAACGAAGTCTTTCAGTTTTCTGGTTGTGATCGCGGCTAGCGGTTCAGCTTCCACCCATTTTGTGAAATAGTCTACCGCGACCACGGCATACTTAAGCCCCCCTTCTCCGATGGCATGGGACCGATAAGGTCGATCCCCCACATGAA